AACATGGGCACGAGTCTCCCCAAGAGAGGCAGGGTAATCCTTTCTCCCTTGACAGACGATGCAGCTTGTAGCGTGCACCTGTGGGGGTTCGCTTTTCAAACTTATCACGAGCTTTGATAAGTTTGTCGTTCCAAGCGTCACGACCTACATCCTCGAGGTTATGGATGTAGGCGTTCCACGCCTGAAGTAGTGAGGGACCATCACGTTTGTGATTCCCACTGTACCATCGATGTCTGAAGAAAGCATCGATGAAGAACTCATGTTCAGCGCGATAGTCTTTCGCGCTGGGGTCAAGGTGATGGATCCTTGACGAATCGAACAATCGTGTTCGATAACGATCACTCGTCGTCGCCGACAAGTGATCCATGACGGATTTTGGAGGCATCCATGCCTTCTTTTCTGGAGCGAGACGCAACACATTGCGGTCCCGCTCTTCCTGCGACGTGCCGACAGAAGTACTGGCACCTCGCTGTGAAGTGGTGTCCATTGGAGAAACGACACCACTATTAGCGCCCGAGTCTCGCGACCTCGAGCGCCTTCGCTTCGGCGATGGTTCATCTGACTCATCAGATGAACCAAAGATGCTGCGACGCAAAGCATCGTCCATGCCACGCTTGGCAGGCGGCTTGGATTCAATTGCCGTCGATACGGATCCGTCATCCGTATCAGGAGAGTACGAGACACCGAGCTCGTACTCTGTGAAGACACGAGTGTCTTCATGACCAGCGCCTGCATCACCAGGTGATACAGGCTGAGTCGATTCAGCAACCGATGGGATATCAGTTGCTGTAGTTTCTGCTTCGGCGTCCGCACAGAGACGTGCAGACGCGCTCTCGGCGGCCTTGCTCGCGCATCGCATGGGCTTGTTTACCATGCGATGAGATGTTGGAAAGTGGACGCGGACCAACAAGTGCAAACCCCGTCCCAAATGATTTGGGACGAGTATCCATTTAGTCAATCAGTCACTAAAGTGACTGATGGTTAAGGGGGGTGATGTAACGGGGTGAATCGTTACATAACAATTTATAAGAAATTGTTAATAGAATATAACTATAAGAGTTATATTCTCAGAATATTGTCATAAGGACAATATTCTGTAGCACTTCCAAGTAGTTCCTAATTGGTTGATATAGGCCATTATATCAACCAACGAAGACGCGCCACGACAGACGCACGCAATGAGTGGTGAGCAGATAACTGATTTACACATTTGTATTTAGACATAGTTAGATGAAGATAAATAGTGATTTATTGCAGACATTAACTATTATAAATACAGTTCTACTTTTTACTCTAACCGAGTACTCGCTTCTTCTTACCGTCTTCCTCTGCACGTACGAGTGTACGTGAAGTTACGAGGCACCGCCTTATTCTGTTATCAGAATAAGTAGCTTGTACTGTCACCAGTACAAGCTTCAGGGTGCCCCGTTACACAAGACGTTCAAGTTCCTGCGCGATGCAAACAGTATCCAGTGCAAAGAAACCAAGCAGTAGCGGCGAGTGGGAGTGTTGAGAATACGCCGCTTCGTGCAGTCGTTTCATGTTGGGTTCATGGTGATGATTTCTGTGTCAGGGTGTTTCATGGTGGTTATTACGGAAGAAGGTTATGGATCGCGGTTACATGATGAGATTACAGGATGTCGTTACATTAAGGCTTAGACTTAGCTAAGGGTAGTGAACTAAGGACCTTAAATATATTCACTTCGGCTTTTACATCCAACTACCCCAACAGTTCTTCTCTGTCTCAAATACAGCCGCACCCTTCGATCGCGGCAGGTGTACGAAACGGTCCTAAAAGTGACATCAATCGTCGATTTGCTCGCCTAGATTTGGTACATGGCTTCGTCGCCCTGCATTCAAGTACTCCGAACTCATCACAATCAAGTCCAACGATCTTTGTATCGCCTTCTGCTCTTAAACAGGCTCCGACGGGTAGGATACCTATCACGACAAGTAAGCCCTCGACCCAAATGCTTTGCTTTGTAGTTACAGTGCACAAGCGGAGCATCGTCGCACTCAAAAGTAGCAATGAAAGCGAGAGTTTGGAGAAAAGGAACAAGTCCGGCAGGCCCCAGTCTATAGATTGGCTCATCAAAGCTGAATTTGAGTTGAATCTGAAAAATGTACGATCCATTCTCCTCTTACTCCGATCGACAGACCGATTGTAGCAGTAGCACCATGTACCTCAGTCTTGCTTTTGCCAATCGTGGATAGACGTTGTCTTTTAACAGCTCACATAAGTAGGACCTGTTCAATTGCTTTGAATCAGTTGAAAGACCGAGCTATGACTTACCACTCGTGATGTTTCTATACCTTGCACTTTTTAGAGACCGCTGTGATCAAGACTTTCTTTGTCACTTGTAGTTTGCTGCTTATCACTGCTCCCTCTCGTGTTATCCTGCAAACATCAACGACAAGACACAACTGAGATCGTGAGCACTAGCTCAGTTAATCGAGCAGATTGGTTCTGATAGCCGCGTTCGGAGACAAGTGTGTCAGCTGACTCGTGCATGGTGGATGTGGCACATCTGAACGATTTCGTTGAGCTCGTGAGAAGCAAAAATAAGCTCGATGCGCAGGTGGCTAGAGTCATCCATCACGAATGTGTTGACTTCTACTTACATCTGAAGATGCCCCGCCGTTAGAAAACTTTGTACAGCCAAGAGTATCATAGTCACCTAATTCCAGACGTTATGGCAGCAAGTCGATGGTGGCCCCTCAAACTTCAAGTCATCGTGGTTGTCACGAAAGAGACCGTGGTAGTACAGACATGTACCTGCTTGGTCAGAACGCGATCGAATTACCAGTTACAAGGCCGCCCGGCTTTCAGATCACAGAAGTCTCCGGCGAAGCGTAACTGAAATCTCAACTTCCAATGCGCATAACGTTTGACCCTAATCGGGCATGCCTGACTGTCTGTAAAGGAGCCCGATGACAAAACAAAATTCCGAGAACCGTATGGGGAACGGTACGACGCATCCCCACTCGTTACTTCGTGTCGACAACTAAACAACAAATACTGACCACCCTCTAGCCAACATAGGGTAGAACTTCGTGCGAGTAGCGTCGATTTAGAGTACGACGACGGTGCAGCCTTCAACCGTGCCAATACGACGATTTGACGGGATGCCCGCCTGACCAGACTTGTCGTGAAAAGAAACCGTCGAGGCGGGCGTATGTATTGTAGCTTCTACTGACGACGTGACGTCTTGATTGACTAGAATCATCTGCGTTAGTAAAACAAGCAGCACACAGGACAAAGCGAAGTGTTGGGCAGGGATTGGCATGCCAACGCGAGACCTCACAAAGCCAATGTCGAAAGGCAAAAACAAACCACGCAGTTTCACCGAACTGTTCTTGCTAGCTCTCATAGTAGCCATTCGTGTGTCCGGGGCGCAGCATCTAAGGGGTGTCAGTGCTGTTTCCTTCTCTCAGCCATGTTGACTCAGGCAAGTACGATTCTACGGCGGTCGCATCGCTGTGTTGTCAGTCAATTTTGTGATCGCCCTGCTGAACGAACTTGTTTTGCATATTCTAGGCGACAATGCTTGGCATTTTGCGAGATTCGTATACAGTCGAGCGCGGCAAATCTACACTGCCACTTGCGTCAAATTCTTGCAGCCACTTGTCACCTCATTCGTAAGCCTTGTGCTACCACATCAAGTCCAACGAAACGTTTTCCATTAAGCGGTTTTTTAGAAGTCTCTGACTCTTGATGCGGACGTGGATGGCTCATTTTGTCTTACCAAGAAAACGTACAGACTTGTAAACTGCTTGACGTGCCTTGGAGCTGCTTGTTTAGTCCTTTAATTTGGACTGATAGTTCTGCGACTTTTAAACAGTTTCGACCCAGTCCTGGCAAGTACATCTTTTACAGCACAACAACAGTGCTGTTCCTCTCTTTATCCGCATTAAGCATGTCTCGGACGGCAAGTCGACTTTACGTGAGCTCGTCTGGCAATGGAAATAGATGAAAAGTTGAACCAATGGCCCGCAACAGTCGACAGCAGTCAATTGCTGGTGTTGGCATCCTAAGGTTAGGAGTTGAACTGTCCAGACCCACCTGTTGTTTCGGTCACAGCAGTGCATAGCTTGTCGTTCAGTGTGATTTTTAGAAACGTGCTGCCATCGAAACGAAACATTCCTCAATCTCCTTTGATGACGCGCTATTGTGATTTTAGCACAGAACACCAGGTACATAATGTTGGCACCCATCAGTCGTGTCTGGTCTGAGCTAAATACTGTCGACGAAAACGGACAGATGTCGAGTCTTGCCTGATGGTGCGAGAATTCCGCTGGGAGCTCACGCTTGCCTTGGGTACAAGAAAGAATCACGTTTTGGAGGTGAGCTGCGTTCTATCGCGAGATGAGTGAAACGCATGGCGTTCACTCAGACATTGCACGCGGTAATCCGATAGTAGGAACTCGCTATCGCAAACGGCTGCCGCGCAAACAAGCATTACTCTAGATACAGCTTCTGTAGTCGACGCCACAATGCTCGAATAACATATGCTCGTCCTATTGTGAATCGCGTATTTGTTTATTAGAGCCTTCACCAAATGTCGTCGGCCGCGGACTGCAATATTTCGAGCTGGGCATGGACTTGAGCAGTTCCGACATCTTCAATAAGGAGTAACTCTGCCGTTATTTAACAGTTGAATATATGAGATATGACCATCATATACAAGTGCCGCATCTTGATCGGCGTACAATTGTTGGGTTTTATTTTGTTTTTGATCGGAGTCCTACTTCCAAACTTTGTGCACATTGTCATCTGAAAAACAAACTTTATGTAGACGACAGTACTAAATGAGTAGTCAGTCTTTCAATGCCCAAATCTACATACGCAGGCTCTGACCACGTTTAAATAGGTTACATATCTTTCATAGCACCTGTAAAACCGCGTTTAACTACGAAAACAGAATTTGTTGTTTTTATGTAATCATAAAAGCGACAAATACTCGCAAGAGACTCGAATCAGAAAAAAGAAAAAACTAAGCATGCACGGACACCCGAGTGCGACTCCGTCAGCAAGCCAGCAACAAACTGCAGCGTCTGCATACTCCAATGCGAATGCCAATCAATCTGTAAACGGCACCAAAGTGGCAGTGGTGGGCGCCGGATTCCTTGGTCGATGTATCGCCATCGATTTGTCGCTCCTCGGCGTGCAGGTGCTCGTGTGTGATACGAAGTCGCAGTCGAGCGAGGGGGTGCGTCGAATATTCATGAGAAGAAGATTTAAAAAGTGCCTTTTTTAATCGTGTGTTATAACGCTTTTACGATGCATTTCAGCTTTCGTCGTTTGCGTACGATCTGTTGCACCCGCTGCTGTACCTGGGTTACGTAACCAAGAGCATGGTGACACAAGCGTGCAGTAACGTCACAATTGTGGCAACAGTAGCCGAGTGCGCTGATGCTTCGATCGTCATTGAAGCGGTAAGTACGTGCTTTTTTGCATTATTGGACCCATGACTGTTTAGTTTTATACGTGACAGCCTTGTAGACTAAAACTATTTCATCACTGAATGTTCACATACTGTGGCTGCAGATCCCTGAAAACTTGGAAGCAAAAGTGCAGCTGTTCAAGTCGCTGGAGCAGCACTGCTCAGCGTCAACGATCTTCGCATCCAGCACGATCGACCTCTCGATCGACTCGATCCAGTACGTTGAGCAAGCAAAAAGCACTCTTTCTACTCATTGCTGACACACACTTTCATGCAATGATGTTTGTTTTTGTTTGATCTAGGATGCAGTTGCAGCATCCAGAGCGGTTTCTAGGCATGCGGTTTTTCTACCCGTGCGTGCTCGTATCTCCTGTGGAGCTCACGACTGGAACCACCACGTCGCAGCATACGATCGATCGCATCGTGACTTTTCTAGAGCTTCTTGAGAAAAATCCGCATCGAGGCCCGACGAAGCGCGTACTGACCACCAACGAGGTCAGCTCGTTTCAGTTTGACACGGCTGTGCGCGGGAGTTTTTACCACGGACTGCTGGAGCCCAAGCGTCACCCGTCTCTGGGTGATATCATCACTCCACACCCAGGACCTCCACTCGATGGACACTACAGCAAAATCCGCGCCAACGACACAACGTCTCTCTAAGTAGAGCGAAAGTGCATGTCCACTGCATCAACAAGTCGTACTTTTTGCAAGCGTGACGTCCCCTCTATTGAATGGTCAGTGATTCACCACCTGCTATACTGACTGCTCATTCGTCATGTCTTTGTACCATGAGGTGCTAGATCCGCTTAAAGGTCGCAGTGCCGTGGCTTCTATAGCGCTTCCGGCTGGCTCTCGTGTCCTCCAAACGTTTGCGACAAGTGCCGTGTCTTCTCCTTCTTCTTGTGGCTCGTGTTTCGTGTCCCAAGTCTCTCTTTCCCGTTGTGCAGGCTGCCGGATAGCTTGCTACTGCTCTCGTCGGTGTCAACAGCTTGATTGGCCTCAACATCGTTGGGAATGTCAAGCCTGGCGCTCGATTCCAGCTGCCCACGCTTCACCCACGTTGTTGCTGGTCACTCGACTCGCTTTCAAGCTGTTTCGGAGCTCTAAGATTACTGAAGAAGCGAGGAATGCAGTGCTGAAGCTGTGTCATCATTTACTCGACCACTCGGGAGAGAAGCGTCAAGTGTTTGACGATATGACGCAGTTGGTGCTGCTGCTTTTGTCACGATACAAAGCGTCTGCGAAGCAGCAGATTCCGAGCTTTGACGAGCTTGAAAACGATCTGAAGACGGAGATCCTGAAGCTGTTTGGACGCGTCAATTGCAACGCTTTCTCGATAGCAAATAGCGTGACAAATGAGTCACTGGGCATCGGACTGTTCCCTGAAGGCGCGTTGTTCAATCATGACTGTGATCCGAATAGTATTGTGAGTTTCAAGGGACGAGAGATGCTCGTGCATGTGGTGAAAGATGTTGCAGCAGGACAAGAGATCACAGTCTCGTACGTGGAGTTGCTACAATCGACACAGGCGAGACGAAGCGAATTGAAAAAGTCGTACTTCTTCGACTGTGAGTGTGCACGGTGTCAAGCAGCCTTAGAGGAGGAAGCGGGCAGTGTGAAGGATGAGTGGTATCTGGATGGCTTGGTGTGCACCCACAAGGAAGGCGGGGTATGTGGAGGTGTTGTCGTGGTGGAAAAGACACTGGATTGTACCGTTGGCTGTGCAGTGTGTAAATTGTGCGGTCGCGAGCGAGATGGAAGGGAGATTGATCGATGTGAGAAGCTGCTGAAGAGCTTTGAAGCGCTCGGTGTTGATTCAGAGCAGCGAAAGTGGGAGGCGTATCAACAAAAGTGGAAACTCGTGACGCAGCAGCTTCAGCTACACCCACGGAATGCCCGCGTAGCTGCAATGGCTCGCGAAATTGGCAACTTTCTGTGTGGAGCGACGTCTTCGGAGTTGCGACGCCTGGCCTTGCCATTCTTTGTAGCAGAGCTGCATGCAGTCGAGTGGTTGCTGCCGAAGACGAAGCTTCCGTCACGAGGGCTCCTGCATTTCCAAATCGGGAAACTGATGTTTGAGGAGGTGGAGTCATTGACTGGTACTTTGTCCCGCGCGGATCAAGTTGACCGACTTGAAAGCGCTGCAAAGCATCTCCACAAGTCTCTATCTATGTAAGCTCATGTCGAATGTGTTGGTGCTTGGAGCAGCTGATGTACTCACGTGATATGCCGTGTGCTTACAGACTGACGTTCGCTTACGGAAGCGATAGTACTGCCGTCCAATCTGCACAGCTGCTCCTCGATGAAATGCAACGCTCATCCCATCAGCTTCTCTAGCTCCGTCTTGCTGTAACGGATGGAAGACCAATCGAGTCATGACTCTGGTCAGCTTGCACGTAAGAAGTCGATTGCAACTTGGTACTGATGGGCTGACATCGTCACGTGGAACATGTTGTCACGCTGTATCAGACCTTATCGACAGCGTTGTTACACTGATCAATGATAGCGTCGTGTCAGCCACCCATTTTTGTGACGGATAAACTGCTGTTTGTATCGAAATAGCCTCGATCATAGTAAGGCGGTGGCACCTGTGAAGATAGTGGCCGACGTATTTGTCAGTGATGACTAGGACTCCGTCCCGCGCAGGACAGGGCGGGATTGGTCTATCCCGCGTCCCATCCCGTTCTGCGCGGATGCTGCGGGATGAGATCATTGAACATATTGCTCTACTTTTATTTCGTAGAGACCAGATCTGTATGCAGTCCACATGATCGCCTCTGTAACGGGGCACCTGTAACGGGGTGGATCGTTACATAACAATTTATAAGAAATTGTTAATAGAATATAACTATAAGAGTTATATTCTCAGAATATTGTCATAAGGACAAATATTCTGTAGCACTTACAAGTAGTTCCTAATTGGTTGATATAGGCCATTATATCAACCAACGAAGACGCGCCACGACAGACGCACGCAATGAGTGGTGAGCAGATAACTGATTTACACATTTGTAGTTAGACATAGTTAGATGAAGATAAATAGTGATTTATTGCAGACATTAACTATTATAAATACGGTTCTACTTTTTACTTTAACCAAGTACTCGCTTCTTCTTACCGTCTTCCTCTGCACGTACGAGTGTACGTGAAGTTACGAGGCACCGCCTTATTCTGTTATCAGAATAAGTAGCTTGTACTGTAACCAGTACAAGCTTCAGGGTGCCCCGTTACACCTGGTAGCACTTCGTAGTCCGTCCAAGGACCACGTTCACATCCAACATGAATATGTTGGATGATGAAGATGACCAAAGCTTTCACGCTACGCGTGACGGCTACTCCCATTTGAGCGATGTCGAATGGGATGCGGTTGAACGAATGGGTTCGACCATGGGCATCCATGCTGTTAGCGTCATGCTAGAGGCTCTCAATAGAGATGCCCAACATGCTACTATCGCCAAGTTCATTCAAAATGAACTTGACGCAGAACGCGAGAAAGTAGCCTTGCTTCACCAACAAGGTTCTCAACAAGCAGAGTTGTTGAGAGAACAGGGTGCTCAACAGTTTGAACTGTTGAGACAGCAGCAGGCTGCTGCTGGCGGGTCGATGCACTCGCGTCGACCCGAGACTTTGAAGATTGACATCTCAAAGTATAGGGGGGTCGAAGAAGACTCCCTCTTGAGATGGTTCGTTGAATTGGATGACGCCATAAGGGCGCGTCGCATCGACGACGGGGATATGCAAGTTGCATTTGCCCAGTCAAATCTGGCAGGACGTGCCAAGACTTGGGCACTGGGGCTCAAGCTGCACGACCCATATGCGTTTGGGTCGTTGGAAGTCTTCAAGTCGCGGCTCAGACAAACGTTTGAACCGCCTAGAGCTGAGTTCAGGGCTCGAATCGAACTTTTGAAGCTCAAGCAGGGTAAGCGTGATGTGCACGCTTACGCTCAACATATACGACATCTCACGAGTTGTATAAGTTCCAATCCGGTGGATGAACACACGTTGGTTTCGGTGTTCATGCAGGGTCTTGCGGATGGTCCCGTCAAGACTCACCTGTTCCGGCTTGAACTAGATTCACTAGAACAAGCCATTTCCATTGCGGAACAGGAAGACTTCAGTCTGAGACAGGCTCGCGCCAGCTCGACATCATATCGTCAACCGAGACGATATGACAACGGAGGTCCAGAGCCGATGGAACTCTGTTATGTAGAGAGCGAGAAGGCTCGCTCTACAGGCTACAAGAAGTTGCAGAGATGCAAAAGATGTCAAAAGACAGGACACTACGCTTACGAGTGCAGTGCCCCTCGTCCAGTGTCTCGCGACACTGGGCGTAGTGACCGTCCACCCATGAGAAAGGGGCAGGGACGAGGGTCCGCAGTTGGTGCAAAGACGCAACAACGGGATGGACCGTCAAAAAACGGACAGGATCAGTAGGTGCGGAGCACCCTACTGATCCAGCAACGTCAAGAGAATTTGTAGGCCTCTTGATGAAGGTTGCTCCCAACACACAGACGTTGTGCGTTGCTGCTCTAGGTAATGAGATCTCACTCATTACCTTGAAACTCGAAGTGACGAATAAGTTGTCCCTTCGAGCTCTAGTCGATTGTGGGGCGTCCAACAATTTTGTGCGACGCCAATCGCTAGAAGATGGTCACTTTAAATTCAGTGAATGTGACACACCTCCTACGAGGATGACGGTACGTCTTGCGACAGGCGCATCCGTAACCGTCATGAAGCGTATAGTGAAGATCCACTATACGCTAGAAGATACCCAATATGACGATGACTTTATCGTATTGGATTTGGATGACAAATTTGATGTCATCCTTGGAATACCGTGGCTCAGAAGGTACGAACCACGGGTAAACTGGCAACATCGGACAGTAACGATGCCTGCCGCTTGTTCATCAGATGGCCATCTGATGAACGTTTTGGAGCGTCCACAAGCGTGTGGATGTACTACGAGTGAGTGCGATGGCCTCACTTGTGGTACGGTCGTTAGTACGACTGCACAAAACCTTAGTGTACCAAACGGTTACACTTCGGAGCAAAGTTCCGGCGGCTGTGAGGAAACACAGGCTGCGCCGAAGGTCCACCACTCGAATAAGTCGGGTGGACTGGGACAAAGATGTATCCCTAGAGGGGAACATCTAGAAGAGAAACAATCGATCGCTCAGGTTAAGCGAAACGATAATCCTAGATCGACTGGAGAGTCTTTCGTAGAGGATCTCGCTGTGGTTGCGCAACCCCAGCTAGAGGAAGTAAAGGGAATAAGTCCCAAGATTACAAATACGGCGGAAATAAGTTCCCCGAAACCCGCGGGAATAAGTCCCCGGGAAGACGAAGGAATAAGTCCTTCGAAGCCTGAGGGATTAAGTCCCCAGGAAATGACAGAGACATTGAATGTCATAGTCAATAACGGATCATGTGTAGGCGCTTATACACTTGATCTGATTGCGCCTCCGAAGTTAACTTCGGAGATCACTCAGTTGCCAACGCTCGAACATAAAAGGTTCTTGCGTGATCTGCGTAGTGGCAAAGTCAAGCAGATCTGCATACTCGTCGCTGACGACGAGTGTGTAACCGACATAAGGTCAGCAACAGTGTTTACTGAGAACGAGAGAGTTCTCAGTAGTTCATCTATGGACGAGAGTGTCCTAGATGAAAAGACACGAATTGAGCGATATGACTCCCAATCATGGGAATCGCTCAAGAAAAATCCTCTCTATGAAGATTTGGTTGAATTCAAGGATGTATTCCCTGAAACTGTTCCGTGCGAATTACCGAAGGATAAAGGTATTCGTCACGAGGTCGAGCTTAAACCAGGCTTGAAGTACTGTGTCATGAAGCAGTGGCCACTGCCTCGTGAACAAGTACTTGCGATCGACAAGTTCTTTGCCGATCGTTTAGCAGCGGGCCATGTGAGGGAATCAACTTCCCCACATAGCTCTCCGACCTTCTGTGTGCGAAAAGCAACAGGAGGGTGGCGGATAGTGCACGCGTTCAACAAATTGAACGCTGCAACGGTACCGGCTCAGACGCCGATACCGAGGAAGGACGTAATCATTGATGGTATGTCAAAGAGTACCATCTTTTCGTCCATGGATTTGATGGATGGCTTCTATCAAATCCTTATGCGGGAACGGGATATACCCTATACCGCAGTTAGCACGCCTAGCGGCATGCTCTGGGAATGGCTAGTAATGCCACAAGGGCTCAGTAATGCCCCTGCCACGTTCAACAGATGTGTATCACATCTGTTGAGGCCAGTACGAGAGTTCGCGCCGAGTTATTTCGATGACGTATTCATCCATAGTCGAGCTATGGATGGAAAGTCGGACGTTGAGGTTCACAGGTACCACGTCCGACAAGTTCTTACAATCATGCGAAAGCATCAATTGTATGCAAACCTCAAGAAGTGTATATTTGCAGCAAGCGAAATACCACTTCTTGGGTGCATCGTTGGTAAGAACGGTGTACGTCCTGATCCCGAAAAGATCAAGGCGATCACCGACTGGCCTGTGCCGGTCGATGTCAAAGGTCTTCGAAAATTCCTTGGGCTAGCGGCGTATTGCATAAGTATTCACGCAATTACGCCGAGATGACTGTGCACCTCTCTCGTTTGTTGAAAAAGAACGAGAGGTGGTTATGGAACGCTGAATGTCAACGCTCCTTTGAGGGTATCAAGCAGAGCTTGATACAATCCCCAGTCCTAGCAATAGCCGATCAGGACAGGCCATTTCATGTGGTCTGTGATGCCAGCGATTTCGCAATCGGCTGTGCATTAATGCAGTACGATCTTGAAGGCATTGAACGCGTCGTCTGCTATCAGTCGCGTCAGCTGCAACCAGCTGAGAGGAACTATCCAGTGCATGACAAGGAACTCCTTGCCATGAAGTATGCACTCGCGAAGTTCAGAGTCTATCTATTAGGAGATAGACCCTTCGTTGTTTACACTGACCATGCGTCATTACGCACGGCAGTGAACAGCCCGCACCTTTCACAACGAATGGCGCGGTGGTTGTCATTCTTTGCAGAATACAACTTTACGGTCGAGTACAAACCAGGACGACTTAATGTCTTCGCTGATGCACTCTCACGTCGTCCCGACTTTGAACCGGTCGTGAAAATCAACAGTGAGACAGTCACTGTTGCGGTTATGACGTCCTCAGTTCCATCTACAATGTTGTATGATGATGTGAGGCGGGCATACGCCCAAGATGGTGAGATAGTGAAGTTGTTGTCACATCTCTCCCAACCATCCCGAGAATCGTTGAAACGATTGTCGCCTGCGTATCGATCTGCATCAGATCGATACACTACTCGTAACGGTTTACTGTATTATACAGCCGTTTCTGGTGACACACCACGTGTTGTCATTCCAGATGATACTGATCTGCGTTTGCGGATCATGTTCGAGTATCACGATGCTCCTATGGGAGGACATCGTGGCCGAGAGAAAACATATCTCACGGTAAGTCGAGACTTTTACTGGCCCCGCCAGTATCAGTTTGTGCGAAAGTATGTTCGCGCATGCGAAGTCTGCCAACGAGTGAAGTCAAGTCCTTCACTGCGTGCACCTTTACAGCCTCTACCGGTTCCGGCTGAGTGCTGGGAATCCATCTCAATGGATTTCGTCTTCGGGTTACCCAAAGACGCACGCGGGAATACGGGTATTCTCGTATTTGTTGACAGATTCAGCAAAATGGTACACCTTGTGGCTGTACCAGAGACAATCACGGCAAGTGGCTGTGCTTGTGTCTTTATTGACACCATCTTCCGACTTCATGGGTTGCCCCGTGAACTCGTATCAGACAGAGATCCACGATTCACTGCTGATTTCTGGCGTTCCGTGTTCAAATCACTCGGAACGCGCTTGAAGATGTCAACATCTGATCATCCAGAGTCAGATGGTCAGACGGAACGTGCCAATCGTGTCCTTGAAGAGATACTTCGAGGATACGTACACTCCTTTAAGAGTTGGAGTGAGTTTTTGCCAATGGTAGAGTTTGCCATCAACAACTCGGTGCATGCGTCCACGACACATACACTACCGTTTTACGTGAATGGCTTGCGCCATCCGCGTGTACCCACCTTACTAGAGTGTAACTCTGGTTTAAGGGGGAGGGACTCGCGCGAGCAAAAACCGATTTGGTTCACGCTCATCACGCTCTGACGAAGAAGTCATTGCGTTCGATGCCGATATCGATAACATCGATATCGAAGAAGATGATACCAGTGAGAGTGCGGAAGCCCTCACTGAAGACAATGATCCCAGCGAGAGTGCGGAAGCCCTCACTGAAGAAAAGGTTGTTGTTGCTGCAGTGCGCTCACAGCACACTGAAGCTAACGAGTCATAAGATGAGTTCATACTGGCTCGTGAAACGGTAGTCCGTTTTGTGCAAGACTCCATCGCCGAAGCGGTGGATAAGCAAAAGCAAAACGCTGACAAGAATGGAAGGGCAAACACTCTTTTATTTAATAAAGGTGACTTAGTCCTACTGTCTACGGTTAATCTACCAAAGCATGTAGTGACTAACTTGGGTAGCAGTAAACTACTACCCAAGTACATTGGCCCATTTCGTGTATTGCACCGCCTAGGCAATGCATACACGATCGAGTTACCACGTAAGATGCGAACGCATCCCACGTTTTACGTTGGTCGGCTTAAGCCGTACCATCAGTACGCTGCTTCTTCCGATGAAGAACGCCCTTGCGCTCAAGCATCTCGCAGAGAGCCTTGTGCTCCCGATGGTGGGCATCAACAAGGGTCTGAAGAGCAGTTATCTCAGCCCGAGACCGATCAACAATCCCACGAGCTACCCTTAGCTCGTCACGAAGAGATGTCAGAGATCTCTCGTTCTCGAGCCGAGCAAAGGCAAACTCAGCTCGATGCTTCGAGGCAGTGTCCGCCATCTGGAGACGCCTATTCCGCTCATGCTCGAGATCGTCGCGTAACCCTTGCGTTACGCGATCAAAGAAGCTCTCGGGAACACACCGATCCACATGATCGTGTGGAGAGCGTCTTTCCTCCTCCTCCAACTCCATTAGAGGACTCTCGCGGTGGCCAGCGCTATCTAGCTGAGCAGCTGTTGAACCACCGCGACGTGAACGGACGTCGGACGAGTTATCTCGTCCGGTGGCGCGGCTATCCCCCGTCCTGGGATTCTTGGGAGCCCCGCTCCCAATTGATGGTTGACGTACTGGGTCTGGTCGAGCAGTACGACGCGGCACATCCTGTGCCGCAGAAGGACCGCCGGAGAAAGTCTTCCCGGCACGGTCGTAAAGGGATTTCAGGTTGTCAATCCCTTCGTGCATCTCAGTAGAGACACGTACGCGCCACCACGGGCTGGTAAGGAGGTAAGCCTCCTTAGGTGCTCGTGCAGAGTTGTTCACACAACATGGGCACGAGTCTCCCCAAGAGAGGCAGGGTAATCCTTTCTCCCTTGACAGACGATGCAGCTTGTAGCGTGCACCTGTCGGGGTTCGCTTTTCAAACTTATCACGAGCTTTGATAAGTTTGTCGTTCCAAGCGTCACGACCTACATCCTCGAGGTTATGGATGTAGGCGTTCCACGCCTGAAGTAGTGAGGGACCATCACGCTTGTGGTTCCCACTGTACCATCGATGTCTGCATCACCAAGTGACACAGGCTGGGTCGCTTTAGCAACCGATGAGACATCAGTTGCTGTTGTTTCTGCTTCGGCGTCCGCACAGAGACGTGCAGACGCGCTCTCGGCGGCCTTTTTCGCGCATCGCATGGGCTTGTTAACCATGCGATGAAATGTTGGAAAGTGGACGCGGACCAACAAGTGCAAACCCTGTCCCAAATGATTTGGGACGAGTATCCATTTAGTCAATCAGTCACTAAAGTGACTGATGGTTAAGGGGGGTGATGTAACGGGGTGGATCGTTACATAACAATTTATAAGAAATTGTTAATAGAATATAACTATAAGAGTTATATTCTCAGAATATTGTCATAAGGACAAATATTCTGTAGCACTTACAAGTAGTTCCTAATTGGTTGATATAGGCCATTATATCAACCAACGAAGACGCGCCACGACAGACGCACGCAATGAGTGGTGAGCAGATAGTTGATTTACACATTTGTATTTAGACATAGTTAGATGAAGATAAATAGTGATTTATTGCAGACATTAACTATTATAAATACAGTTCTACTTTTTACTTTAACCAAGTACTCGCTTCTTCTTACCGTCTTCCTCTGCACGTACGAGTGTACGTGAAGTTACGAGGCACCGCCTTATTCTGTTATCAGAATAAGTAGCTTGTACTGTAACCAGTACAAGCTTCAGGGTGCCCCGTTACAGCACCATTTGTTTGGGGTGCCGCGAAACTTCACGTACACTACACTCCGCGCCATTAATATCGTACACCTGTACTTTTTACTTCTCAGTCAATTTTACGAATTAGCGGGTGCTATGTAGATATGTGGTGTATTTTATTAATAGAAACACCATATGTGTGTGTAACGATTGCGATTTCGCAAAGCGTAATGGGCCTCACATCCAAATGACTGGTTTTGCCACTGCGACATGTAAAATCGTACAAAATGACATACAAATTTTAAGTATAAAATGAACAATTAAAGACTCACTGTATTAAAAGGTGGGTTTTATTGCCCTTCTTCTCGATGACCTCAACGCATCGTCGCGGCATCGAGCGAACAAGCGACACAAGTGTAGCATCCAAAATTGCATTCCAAACTGCAACTAGCGCAGCCTTTAGCTCAGACACGCGCTCGAACTGTGTTTTATTGGCGTACACTTGCCTGCTAACGATAGACCACACATTCTCGATGGGGTTGAGATCAGGTGACTTTGATGGCCATTTTAGCACCTGAATACCCTCTTCACTGAAGAATTCGCGGCTACGGTGTGAAACATGTATGCTTGCGTTGTCCTGTCGGAATATAAAATCTGTATTATAGTTCAGATGCGCAAATGGTAGAAGATATTCAGACATTGTATAAACATGGTCATCCGAATTCTGCCTCCTCGTCAGCACAACAAGTGGAGACTTGCCATGGGCCCTGAAAGCGGCCCGAACCATGATGGACCCACCTCCAGCTTGACGTCGCTTCGTCTGGCGGACGGACTGGCGCACATCTCTCCAGTAGTGCTGAAAGCCGTCGGGCCCGTCAAGATTCCATTTTTCTCTTCCGAGAAAAAGATGGAGTCCCAGACGGACCCGGCATCCTCATGCAACAGCATGTCCTTGGCCCAGGATTTGCGCGCACCCATGTCCGCGACCGTAAGCGCCAACGTGTTTTCCATCTTGGCATACACAAGCCAATCGACATCGGCCAAAATGCGCTGCACGGTGCGGACGGACACCGGCGGGCTTAGCTCGACCTTGAGCTGGGCGGCGGACAGGTTGCCCTGAGCAGAGGTGCGCAAGTGGCGCTTCGAGAGAAGCGGAGCGGGTCCTCGGCATTTCATCGGTAGTGGACAGGTGGGGATACTACTCGACGCATAGTGTCAAGGCTCCTTGAGGTGACAGTCTTGATGGCACGCAAACTCAGTACAGCCTCTCGAAGCTTCACTATCCTTCCCCGCTCGTGGTCGGTTATACTTGGCATCTTGTTGCCATTTCCGTCGAAATGAGCCGCTAACCTGGTGTCGCCAAATGCTTGTGCCGCTAATACCAACCCAGTAATACAATCAAACTGATACATTATACTTAAAATTTGTATGCCATTTGTACGATTTTATATGTCGCAGTGGCAAAACCAGTCATTTGGATGTGAGGCCCATCACGCTTTGCGAAATCGCAATCGTTAACACACATAGGGTTTTTCTATTAATAAAATACACCACATATCTAAATAGCACCCGCTTATTCGTAAAACTGACTGAGCAGTGGATAAAAGTACAGGTGTACGATATTACCTGGCGCGGAGTGTAGTGTACGTGCTGAGGAAGCTAATCTACTCAAACAGCTAGCTTGAGTAAAGGGTAAGAAGAAAACCGTATTTAATAAAGCTAAGCTATCAATTTAACTTTAATCTTTATCTAACTATATTAATCTACATTTTCGTGTGACGACAACCTGCTGACCACTCATTACGCGCGTCTAGCAGCGATTGGTGGTAGCCTGGGTTGATGTGTCTTCATTAACAAATCTTTGAGCAGCACATGAATCTTATTGTAAAAGGTGATAATGTTGATATGAGATTGTCACGCTAGACAGTCTCCCTATTTACACCGTTTGGTGTCAATATCATGTAACGGGCTACCTGTTCCGTCACCCCCCCTTAACCATTAATCACTCGTTGAATTAATATAATTGATTGGGAAAGGGTGACCACCGTTGGATCACTCTGGGAAAGGGAGCACTTGTTAGTCAAATCCCATTAATTCGCCAAACCAAGTATGGTTTCGAAAACCAAGCGAGTTGCTACTGCAGCAGCAAGAACGGCGGCTGCACGCATGCGTGCGGCCGCGAAAATTGCCTCTCACACCTCAGCAGCAGGCGATTCGTCGCCTGTTGTTTTGATTCGTCCACGTGGTGAGTCACTACATGCGACGGGTTCATCCGCTGCGTCTGCAGCAGGTCCTTCGAGTCGTACTCCAGATGGGTCTGAAATTGAGCTCATCTATTCTGGCGAGTCGGATGATGCATCCGACTCGAAGGCAACGCCTCACGCCTCCGGATCACCCGGGAAGGACACTGCAAGAGCCAGGTTGACTGGGTCTGGTCAACGCGGCGGCGTTATGACCGAGATCTTCGGATCGAGTGATTATTCCGATGATATTCCGCCTCACGCAAGTCCATCCAACGATAGGACTCGTGGGAATGGTGGTAATGCACCTATACATCACCACGAACAAAATCAATTTAAGGTATCAAACTGTCACTGGTGCCAGTGCTCACGCTGGCACCAATCAAGAGGCCAGGGACCGAAATGTCCAGCGCCACGCTCCCCAAGTGGAGTCTCCGTGGGCGCCGCCATCCAGAGAGTTGAACAGGTTGGCCGGCATGACTACCGAACGGGATCGAATCCTGTTGTTCGATTGCAGGAAGATTTGCCCACCTGATTGTAGCACGGAAACTATCCGTGCTGAGGAAGAATTCTTCATCGATGTGTTCTTCAAACATCGGTGGTCCAATGGCAGCCGTGTTCGAGGCGGAAAGGCCTTGGTACAAGGATGGAACGCCCTCATCCATAACATCGAGTGCATTGGCCGTGAGTCCTGGCTCGTTTTACTTGATGCAGCTCGCATCAGGTTTGAGAAGCGTAATCCAGTCGGTGTACGGTACAAGTTGCACCGACTGTCAAGAGAGGAAGGGTTACCCTGTCTCTTGTGGGGTGAGCTGTGTTTAGGTTGCCTGGAGAATGCGAATCGTGCCCCTGTAGAGGCCTACCTCCCTAATGATCCCTACTTGACGGAGCGCACCTCTTCTGAGATGGCCGAAGGGATTGACACTTTGCAATCCCTGTACTCGCGTTTGGGGAGGTCGTTTTCCGACGGCCCTTCTTCGAACGCAGCGGGTTATTCTCGTCATACTGCTCGAAAAGACCAAATACATCAAAAGTCAGCTGGGCACGAGGCTCCCAGCTGTGGCACGCCGGTGGATAGCCACGCTAGCGGACGAGATAACTCGTTCAGACGGCATTCACGTCGCGGTGGTTCAAAATACGCTCCACCAGAAAGCGTTGACCACCGCCAGAATCCACCAATGATGTGGTGGCGGCGGAACACCTGATCCGGCTCGAGGGTCGGATCAGCTTGTTGTTCAAGAGCTGAACCGTGTAACGGAACAGCTGAAAGATGACCTGGCTCATGAACGAACTCGGCGTTATGGCCTTGAGGATGTCGTAAGGGATGATTACAGTTCCTTTACGCACGATCGTTCGGACGATCGTGCCGCGTTTTCCTTCGTACAACTTGAGAACGAACGTTCGACTCGTTTTCTTCGTGACGAGCTGGCTGCAGCTCGTCAGGACATCGCTCAACTGCGTGAGCAGGTCGCTTCGCTAGTCGACCAGACTAACTCGTTGAAACGGGACCACTCGAAGGAGGTCTCGGCCCTTGACCGCGGAGGTGTTCTTCGCCTCTCGAAACGGGCTCGTTCTGATAGTACGGGTGGAGACGACCAACGTAAAACGTAGGATGCGCACGCATCCTACAAGGCAGTTTAGTCGTGTATGCATTTCCCATTTGGCGCAACACACGAAATGAACCGATGTACCTGGGCAGTAATTTACTGCTGCCCACGTTTGTCACTGCGTACTTCGGTAAGTTTACTGTAGACAGTACAACTAAGTCTCCTTCATCAAATGAAAGAACATTTGCTCTTCCATGTTTGTCTCTATTTTGTCTGTCTAGTGCATCTGCAATAGAGTCTTGAACGAAGCGGACCACCGCTTCGCGATTCAGCAGAAAATCCTCTGCTGTTTCATCCTTGTTAACACCAGTGCTCTTCGTGTGCACTGCTAAAAAAGCGTTGTCTTCAACAGTGAGGGCGTCATCGTCCTCATTGTGGCAGTCATTGGCGATGCTGAATATGCCAGCATTGTCGTCATCATCATCGATATCGATTCATCGACATCGGCATCCTATCACGTCGACACCATTTTCGAAGGGGTAATGAGCAAGAACTAGGTCGGGTTTTTCGAGCTAGTCCATCCCGCCCTTCCTCCTTAAACTAGAGTCACACTCTAAGAATGCGGGTAAACGGGGATGGCGAAGACCATACACGATGAACAGAGTATGCGTTGTCGTCGCATGCACCGAATTATTGATGGCGAATTCCGCCATCGGCAAGAGCTCACTCCAACTCGTAAACGAGTGGACAGAACCTTGAAGTATCTCTTCGAGGACGCGGTTGACGCTTTCCGTCCATCCATCGGTTTCTGAATGATTAGAAGTCGTCATCTTAAAACGTGATTCAAGTGAACGGAACACGGATTGCCAGAATTCCGCCTCAGAGCGGGGGTCCCTATCGGACACGAGTTCACGGGGTAACCCGTGAAGTTGAAAGATAGTATCTATGAAGACGCGCACACAGCCCTAGGCTGCGATTGACTTTGGTACAGCAAAAAGATGTATCATCTTGCTGAACCGATGAACAAACACAATAACACCAGTATTCTTGTGAGCGTCTTAAGGAAACCCAAAGACGAAGTTCATCGATACGGACTGCCAACACTCTGCCGGAATCAGGAGAGGCTGCAAGGGTGCGCGGGATGAAGGGCTAGGCTACACCCGTTGACAAACTTCGCAAGCGCAAATGCATTTCCACACAAACTCATACTGGCGGGGCCTCTATAAGTCAAGAGTAACCGTGAGGTAAGTCTTTTCTCTACCGCGATGCCCACTTGTTGGGGCATCGTGACACTCATACATGATGCGCAATCGCAAATCATTATGAGCCGGAACGACGACACGAAATGTGTCGCCGTTGACTTCTGTATGGTACAGCAGTCCATCACGAACCGAATACCGTTCGGTTGAAGAGCGGTATTGAGACGACAAGCTTTTCAAAACTTGACTGCACGGATTGGATAAGTAATCTATCAATCGCAAAAGAGACTCATCTTCTGCGCATGCCCTTCGCACGTCGTCGAGCAGATTCGACGACGGAACACTCACTGTTAATTTCGCTACAGTGGGATCACCCCCTACTGTTAGGTTGAGCAGTCGGCTCCAAATTGGGACGACGCGAAAGATCATCAGCGACGACATTCAGTCTTCCTGGTTTACACTCGACGGAGAAGTTGTACTCCGCGAAGAAAGACAGCCACCTCACCATTCGTTGCGAGATATGTGGACTGTTTACGGCCGTGCGTAACGACGCATGGTCGGTATAAACGATGAAGTTTCTATCTCCTAGGAGATATACCCGAAACTTATCTAGTGTATATTTCATGGAAAGGGGTTCCTTGTCATGCACCGGGTAATTACGCTGAGCTGTTTGCATCTGACGCGATTGGTGACAGACGAAGCGCTCAACGTCGTCTGAGTCGTACTGCATTAACGCGCAGCCGATTGCAAAATTACTGGCGTCTCAGACGACATGAAATGGTCCGTCCTGGTCTGCAATCACCAGGACAGGCGATTGCATAAAGCTTTTCTTGATGCCTTCAAAAGAGTGCTGACACTCAGAGATCCATGACCACCTCTCATTTTTTCTTTAGTAGACGAGAGAGATGTACGGTCATCTCGGCGTAGTTGCGCGAGTACTTGTGCAAGTACTCCGCTACGCCAAGGAACTTTCGAAGTCCCTTGACGTCGACTGGCACAGGCCGATCGCTTATTGCCTTGTTCTTTCCGGATCGTGGAGTACGCCATATTTACCCACGATGCAGCCAAGAAGTGGTATTTAACTCGCGGCGAATACACTTCTTGATGTTCTCGAACAGCTTATGCTATCGCATAAGTTTAAGAACCTTCCGGACGTGGATTCCATAAACCTCCACGTCCGTTTTCCATCCATAGCCCGACTATGGACGAAGGCATCGTCGAAGTAACTCGGTGCGAAGTCGCGCACCGATCACAACAGATTTGTAACACATCTGATGAACGTTGCAAGGTTGTTACTTGGCCCCTGTGGCATCACTAGCAACTACCAGAGCATACCACTGGGGGTGCTCCATGCTGTGTAAGGGATGTCCCATTCACGCATGAGTATCTGATGAAATCCTACCAATCAGATACATGGACAATAAGATGGTACTTTTTGCCATACCATCAATGATGACGTCCTTTCTTGGTATCGGCAGGTACCGTTGCAGCGTTCAATTTGTTGAACGCGTGCACTATCCTCCACCCTCCTGTGGCCTTTCGCACACAGGAGGTTGGAGAGCTGTGTGGGGATGTTGATTCTCTCACATGACCAGCCGCTAAGCGATCAGCAAAGATTTTGTCGATCGCTGTGACCTGTTCACGAGGCAGTAGCCACTGCTCCATGACACAGTACTTAAAACCAGGTTTCAGTACGATCTCTTGCCAAGTGCCTTTGTTCTTAGGCAGCTCTCATGGCACGGATTTCGGGAAAACATCCCTGAATTAGACCGAATCCTTAGACAAATGATTTGTCTTTAGATACTCCCAAGATGGAGACATGTGTTGCTTAATCCGGGTCTTCTCATCGCGGACACTCTCATCCATTGATGAGCTACTGAGAACCCGTTCGTTCTCAGTAAACAGTTGTGCCGACCGAATATCGGCAACGTACTCGTCCTCTGTGACGAGTACGCAGATCTGCTTGATCTTGTCACTACGAAGATCTCGCAAGAATCTTATGTCTTCTATTGTTGTAAACTTGAATACCTTTCGAAGCTGACTTTAGGGGTGGGTAACCGGATTAAGTGTATAAGCGCCTACAATTGATCCGTCATTCACCAAAACATTCACAGTCTCGGTGATCTCCTGGAATAACACATCCGCAGATAGTTGGGGCTCCACACCCTCAGCATAACGCTCTCTCGGGAGTTATCACTTTCAGAAAAGCTGGAACTTTCTTCCTATACGTGTACATACTGTGGGTGCACTACCACAGTCACTTCCTCTTCGATCGAATCTCTTTCAGTCGATCGTGTTAGCTTTACGATCGACTCTTTGATAGTAGATCTCGCTTCAACGTGTTGCTCATCATGAACAAAACTGATCTCTCTTCTTGGATGCACCCTTATGATGTGCATCCGTGTTCCAGTCCATTCCATCTCTTCTATACTTGAACCTTCGGCGCAGCCTAGGTCTATGCACAGGTGTTGGACGCCAGTTACAGTGTAGTAGCCCTCTACACTGTAATCTTTTGCAGTCGTAATAAAGACCGTACCACAAGTGAGGCCATCGAACTCACTCGTAGTACATCCACACGCTTGTGGACGCTCCAAGACGTTCACCAGATGGCCATCTTATGAACAAGCGGCAGGCATCGTTACTGTCCGATGTTGCCAGTTTACCCGTGGTTCGTACCTTCTGAGCCACGGTATTCCAAGGATGACATCAAATTTGTCATCCAAATCTAGTACGATGAAGTCAGCATCGTACTGCTTACCTGCTAGCGTGTAGCGGATTCCCACTACACGTTTGTTCACTGTTACGGATGCGTCTATAGCAAGGCACACCGTCATCCTCGTTGGAGGGAACTCTCGCTCAACATATTTAAGCCTACTATCCCCTAGCGACTGGCATCGAATAAAACTGTTCGACGCCCCACAGTCAACTAGGGCGCGAAGTGACATTCCGCTTGTCACTTCAATTTTTAAAGTGATGAGAGACTCCTCATCACTAAGGGCAGTAACACACAGCGACTGCGTGTTGGGAGCAATCTTCGTCAATAGTTCTGCAAATTCTCTTGACGTTGCTCGATCAGCAGGGTGCCCCTACTCCTCCCCTACTGACCCTGACCGTTTTTTTTTGACAGTCCGACTTGCTGTCGCGGTTCAGCAACATGGTCGGACCCGCGCCTCGGACCCTACCTTGGCCAACGGCGGACATCACGTCCTGTCTTTGGACTTGTCGCAGTGGCTTGGGACACTACACTCGTTAGCGTAGTGCACAATCTTCTGACAGCGGTGGCATCTTGACGTTTGCTTGTAACTCAAAGAGCGAGAGTTCTCGCTCTTGATGAAACAGAGGTCCATTGGTTCGGGACATCTTGTTTTCTGTCTCTTCGTCGGACGATACTATGACGAGTTAGCCTGAGACTGTCTCAGGCTGAAGTCTTCTTGTTTTGCATACGCTATCGCCTTTCCAGCGTTCGAAAATCCTCTCGGAACATGTAGGTCTTCACCGGCCCATCCACAAGGCCGTAGATGAACACGTCGATGATCGTATGCTAATTAACAGGGTTCTCCGTAACGCTACTCGCAAGGTAGCGTAGGTGTTTTGTGTAAGCATGCACATCACGCTTACCTTGCTTGACCCATAAGAGTGCAGAGCGTTCTCTGATCTCGGCTCTCGGCGGCTCAAACGTCTCTTTAAGCCGAGACTTCAAAATCTCCAGCGACTCAAACACGTTTGGGTCGTGAAGCTTGAGCCCTAAGGCCCAAGTCTTTGCTCGTCCTGTCAAATTTGACAGGGCGAAGGTGACTTGCATCTCGTCACCCTCGTTGTGACGGGCCCTGATGGCGTCGTCTAACACGACGAACCGTCTCAAAAG